TTGTTGATGAATCAAAAATTTCTAGTGGAAATTTTCATATGCCTCCAGCTCTGAGAAATTGTTTTTCAACAGAATGTCCTTATACCATTTTTTTACTCCTTCCTCTGCAAAATTAACTATGCTTAATTACTAATATAATAGGAGCCATTCCATTTTCAGGATCCATCTTATTTAATTGTTTCTAGGATGTTGTAATCACAGCCATCATCTCTATAAAATTATAGGCAGAGCAATTGAGTCAGCTTGTTACCAGGCACATGTGCTCTTTAGCAGGTAACCAAGTTTCCTGTACTCATAGGACACTATCTTCGAATTAAGCATGGCTCAATAATAGCATCATTATTGAGAGAAAACATATCTTTGGGATAGTTTTTCATGATAATTTTCCAAATATATTGTACCTGGTTGTGTCACTGGAACAAAAGATCTTGAAAATTAATCTTTAATCACATTTAAAAACTGATGCTTTAAAGGTTGACCAGCCTTATCATATTTCTGTAACTTATAGGTGATTACTAGAAACATCATATTGGTTTTGAAACTATTAGTCCAAGTATCCAGGAAATCAATAATTAATATACGTATGTAGGGAAATATAAGGTCATGGTTAAAATTCAATAGTAGTACCTAATAATGGTAGATAAAAGACAAGCAGTAATACAACTGAATATAGGCCTGAAAATTATTTCACTTGACAGTCAATCTMAGCACCTTTGCATTTACAAATTATATGAGTATTGAGCTTGAATATTTTAGTTTGGATAGAAAGATTGGATTGCTTTTCAGTCTGTTACGGTTATAATGGTGACTATTACTTAGGTATTACTCAAACCTGTGTGTAATAGAAAAAAGGGTGGGGGCTATTTCTTCATCGAAAGGAAATGATCCAACACTTGGATAAAGAGCTTTGGAAGCAGATATAAGTTCTTAGATTGAAACATGAGCCCAACYACGTAATTCATCTTCTTGTAAATGGAGGCTTTTCAGACCAGTTTGGCCAGAATGGGAAGCAGTTGCACCGAACAGAATAAAAATGGAGAAAGAAAAACAGTAAATAAATCTGAGCTAATATTACTTTTTTAATGTGTGTTTTTCTCTTGAAATCTGGTAGATATTTTGCTAGATGATGCTGGAGATGCAACTGGACACAAAGATGGCCGCAGTGTGAAAATTATAGTCTCCATAAGCAAGGGCTATGGTCGAGCAAAGGTATTTCTTTAACTTTAAATTCCTTATTATAACTAGAGGGTGAGAATTCCTATAAGTTAAATTTATTTTACATTTGAGTATTTGTTCTAATAAATATCCTATTGAAGATGTTTGCCTTGGTATTACCTTAATAGATTATATAAGCATAAAAGGTAGAGACATCACCATAAAAGTATAAATGTGTCTCATAGGTATCACATTTTCACTCTTTTGAAAACAGTATTGATTGTCAACACCCTTCACTACTAAAACTTATACAAAATTTATTTCCTTGACATAAACAACTTGTTTACCATACTCTTTGAGTGTCACTAGAGCGCTGTCAATATTACCTTTCTACAAAGAGAACACTGTAAGATGAACGAATATTGGGGACATCCGAAAGACATTCTACTGAATCAGTAGTCTATATATTCAGTAGTATTTAGCAGGATAAATTCCATTGATGCTATTAGTCTGCATCATTTTTAAGCAAGATCCTAACTGATCAGGCAAGTATTTTAACTTTTAGATTCAAATATTTCTTAATTTTATCTCTTTCTCAAAACTAAAAAGTCTTCAAGTTGAACTTTTAGTTGAGTAGCCAATAATACAAATTTGTAAATATCCTACTTTTTCCCCATCAAACAACAATACTTTAGAATTTTAAACAATATAAGGACTTGAGTCTGAAAAGTGAGATATAGCACTTGTGAATTTTCATGTTGAGCAAATGTTCCAAGGATCCAGTGCCATTAACTTCATGCTTGAACTGCAGGTTTGTGCCTACTCTTCCCAAGTGGATCTTTATGTTTAAYAGTCTCAGTGAAATCTAAAGTAACTCTAATTTAAAAGCAGCTGTTACAAAGCATTGTATAAGCACTCATTCTGACAGCATTAGCGACATTGGCAAATAAATTTTTCTTTTTGAAATAATTCTAAAGGACCATGTCTTTTAAACATTTCTTTAAATAAAGCATCTAAGAAAGTAGTCATCTTAGTGTGGTACAATTGCCATGGCAAAATACCGTAGAAGTGGAGGTTTAAAAATCAAAAATGTATTTTCTCACAGTTTTAGAGGATGGCATATGCAGGATCAGGATTCTGGCCCATTTGGTTCCTGGTGAGGGCTCTCTCCTTGGGTTCCAGATGGTCAGCTTCTCCATCTGTTCTCATATGACCTTATGTCAGTGTCAATGGGAGGGAAGGTGAGAGATGCCCTCCAAGGCCATTAATCTGATCATGAAGGTCTCACCCTCATGATAAAATCCAAACCTAGTCATTACCTCCCAGACTTCCCCATGTGAATTGGGAGTGAACACAAGCATTTATTCTGTAACAGTACCAGTCAGTTGTGGATTTCTCCACTATTTTCTAAAAGAATATACTGGCTTTTAATTGAGGTTATATCTCAATAATGCTCATCATGATTTACACATATAGGGTTAAATATTATAGATGAAGAAACTGAAGCCTTGAGTCAGCTAAATGATTTACCTAAAGCCATATTTCTTAAGTAGGCGGGAGATGTTGTGCATTATAGAATCCATGTTTTCTAACCCTTGACTCAGTGATTATTCTACCAACCTTGAATGGCCACCTAATTGGTGACTAGAAACAGGATTGTAATATATTAACTAACTATGTTTACTGATATTGTAATTGCTTTTCCCAGTCAATATTAAAGAGACTCCAGTCAAACCACAAATCCTGAGTTGTTTACATTTCTAATATTTCTAGAAATTCCTCAAAACCTCATTCTACAATATATATATATATATATATATATATATATATATATATATATATATATATATACACACACACACACACACACACACACACACACACACATTTTGAACCATTATGTGCATTATAAAAGTTTTTTCTGGCAGTTTCTTAGAAATACTGGATTTTCTGATAAATTGACAGTTGGACATGTTTTATAAATATGCAAATACCAAACTCTTATGAACATTATTTCTTACATCTAAATTGAATGGTAATAAAATTAAAGAATGAAAAAACCAAGCATTGAACTTATCAAAGATAAGATCACAGAATAGTAAGAGAAAGTTCAAAGATTCATATGATGTAGTACTTTGCTGTCTCTTTCACCCTTTTCTTCCCCAAAAGCTTCTTCTTGTAGGATTGTGCCAACTGTGTTAAATTGCAAGGCCATTCTCTCTGATTCACCTCCCCTTTCCTTTCTACTGAACACATCACAGATCATTTTCTTTGACTTAACACTTCATCAAATGTCTTCTTTCCTGTTATTGTTGCTACTGCTGTTATTTTATTTGTTTGGCTGGTTAATTTGCTAGGTTCATATTTTGTTTTTGTATAACCCTCCATGTATATCTGTTACTATAGAACTCGCAGGTTTAATAAATACTTTTGTGTCAATCACCAACTACATCAATAAGTTTTAGTAGGAAATATATAGTAATAAGATGCATAGTTGAAGTTTATCTTACTCTGTTTTGTTCTTAGGATCAGAAATCTCAGGCATATTTGATAGGATCCATTGGTGTTAGTGGAAAAACCAAATGGGATGTCTTAGATGGTGTAATTAGACGTCTCTTTAAGGTGAGTTATACGAGAAAGCCTGATGTTAAATGTTCTTCTGGGTTCCTTTTCACCTGCTTTACTTCACTTTCATAGATAGCATAGACACATCTGCTTTTTTTTCCTCCTCCATTTGAAATACAGAAAACCTCTCCATTTCTGCTGTTTAATATTAACAGTTCTTACATTACCCATATCTAAAATTCCTGACAACTAGCTTTATATCCCTGTTTTGTATTTGTTGCAGATTTGTCAAAACTGTTTGGACTGACTTTTTCCATGTGTACCATTTTAGGAATATGTACTTCGAATCGATACATCCTCCAGCCTTGGTCTGAGCTCTGACTGCATTGCCAGTTACTGTATAGGAGACTTAATTAGATCCCAGAACCTCGAAGTGCCTGAACTGCTGCCGTGTGGGTACCTTGTTGGTGATAACAACATCATCACTGTGAACCTGAAAGGTAATCATGAAAGTGAAAAGTACAGTTGTAACTTTTTTTTTTTTTTACCAATATCCTTCTCTTCTTTTTTTTTTAGGCTTCCTTCAAGTTTTTATGTTTGCAAATTACGATAACACTTGAATAGTTTCAGTATAAAGTGTCCATGTTGATTTTTTAAATATGAAAACCTTACTAAAATCACTAAAGACTACAGGATTTTTGTTTTTTGTTTTTGTGGGGTTTTGGCTGTTTTTTTTTTTTTTTTTGAGTTCTGGGATGTAACACTTAGAAGAATACAATTTTGAAAATTCACCAACTTGCAAAAAAAGGAATGTAATTTAAGGAATTTCAAAATTCTAGATTTTCTCCATTATCATTTTTTACCAGAGGAAAACTGGAAAAAAGTATTGTGTGTTCCAAAGCAATATATTCATTTCCATATTTTAAACTTATAAACGTGTGTACTCAATAATTATACACTGGGGGTATAGAATGCAAGTAAAAGTCTGGTGAGTAGCACAATCTTATAATCCCAGAGACTCCAGAGGCTGAGTCAGGAGGATCACAAGTTTAAAGCCAGCTTCAGCAATTTAGAGAGGCCCTAAGTAACTTAGTGAGACCCTGTCTCAAAATCATAAATAAAAAGGGCTAAGAATGTAGTTTAGTGGTGAAGTGCCCCTGGTTTCAGTCCCTGATATGAAGGAAAAAAGACAGAGAAACAGAGAGAGAAGGAATGAATGCAAGTTAAGAATCAGTAATGAGAAATTCTGCTTTCTTTGCTTTGGATGATGTGACTAATTATGTATACTTGTCTCCACAATTCTTTGTTTGTATATGTTCAAGAATCAGAATGCATCTCTATAAACTGTAGGTTAATAGAGGAATATATCAATATTTGATTTATGATTAAGGTAATTGGGTTAGTAAAAGGAGATACTGTTGTTGCCCTTCCTAATTCTTTGCCTAACATTACAATTTGTATTCTTCAATTGTTCAAGTGTTTGTACAGCTGGGATGAGAGATAGAAGGTAATAAAGAGAAGAGCGAAAGAGTGAGAAAAACAAAGAACACGCGCACGCACACACACACACGTGTGTGTGTGTGTGTGTGTGTGTGTGTGTGTGTGTACTTCCCATTTATTCTTAATGAGACTAATTGCTTTCAAAGGGAAGGAAGATTTTATGAGAAAAGTTTTAATGCTTCCATTTCTCTCTGGAGACATGAGTGGAAAACATGAAGTAGTCAGTGGAGGGAAGCCTGAACAAAAAGAAACAGCTTGTTTTCATTCGGCTATTCACTCTGCCTTCTCACTGATACACTTTCGGTCTCAAATTGGCCACATATGTTTGTGGGATAGAAATATCTAGATAATTATTTTGCAAGAACTGCATTCCTATGGCTAACAAATCTCTACCGATGATCTACACCATATTTTTTTAATATAAAACAGTAAACCGTGTTATTACTCTCTTTGTTTCTTCCTTCAGGGGTAGAAGAAAACAGTTTGGACAGTTTTGTTTTTGATACACTGATTCCTAAACCAATTACCCAAAGGTACTTTAACTTGTTGATGGAGCATCACAGAATTATACTCTCAGGACCCAGTGGTACTGGAAAGACCTATTTAGCAAACAAACTTGCTGAATATGTAATAACCAAATCTGGAAGGAAAAAAACAGAGGATGCAATTGCCACTTTTAATGTGGATCACAAGTCAAGTAAGGTAAGTCACAGAATCCAAAGAGAACAGCTGTTCTTTATCTGCAAATGTCTTAAACAATCAAGTTTTACATTTGTGTGAGACTTCCATATTGTACATGAAAAAAAATAGAAATGGTTCTTTGAGTAAAGCTATAATCTTGTGGATAGACAAGCTTTGCTTTATAAACYTGAACAAAACTGCTATTTTCGATAACATTCAGTTATCAGGAACTGCACAAGGCCTTGGGATTGTGCAGAATGAAATGGCAGAGCCCTTATTGCCTGAAATATTTTAGACATCCATTTAGGAAATGTTATAGTAGAAAAGAGGTTTGTGTACAGTGCTATGGAAGCAAGAGGGAGAAATAATTCTACTTGGAAGAATCAGAGCTTTACAAAAAGGCAATACTTGTTCTGAGTATCAGTTGATAAATTGGAATTAAATGGGGTATTTCAGCAATGAGGATTTGGGGATAAGTAGAATATGTTAGGCAGAAAATCTGGGAGAGCAGCAGCTTGCTTATGTCAGATTCTTGAAGGAACTGTATTTGAGAACCTTAGGAAAATAAGCAGTGGTCCATTCTCCCCATCACCTGAGGTCTGAGAAGCCACACTCATCAGCCTGAACACTCTAGACCATTATGTAGATGTGAGGAGCTCTACAGTATTGCCAGTACTTTTACTGCATGTTAAGTAAAAACAAAGAATACTAAAATAAAGAAAGATAAACAGATAAATAAATAAATAGTGAAAGGCTAACGTGTTCTTCATACTTGTTAACTTTACTAGTTTTATTTATTAGAGTTTGAATCAATGCCGCCTAAGATTCTCTTGGGAATCGTAACTGTTATAAGCAATACCTTGAGAGAACCTCAAAGACTATGAGTTTTACTACTTTTTTGAAAAATAACCTGCTTTGATGATCTAAACTGACCTAGTCTCTCAGAAAGTTCAGGTCTGCAGATTTTAGAAATAATTATGACTCACAAACCTGTTGGATTCATGAAATAACCAGATATATAGCTTAGTGTTTAAGTCATGAACACAGGCCACTTGTAGGATTTAAGGCCATTACTGAATTTCCTTGTTCCTTCACTTTGTTTTTTTTTTTTTTTTAATCTTCAAAATGGAGGAAATAGTAGGGTTGTAGTAAGGACTACATGAATGTGTGAGTGAGTGTGTGTGTGTGTATGTGTGTTATGGAGATAGATACAGAACCGCACAAGTGGCAAGCACAGTATGAGGCTTACCTGCAACTATTAATTATTTMATCATAGCCTTTGGATTCCAATTCAGATTTCTTGCACAAATATATACCACACATGTACATGCACACAAACATAGGCTCTCCCTTGTTAAAAATTGTTTTGTGTATATTCTTCAAGAGTAGCAATGATGTACATAAAATACAATGGGATGTCTTAAAAGTTAAATCAACACAGCCTGTAGATTCTGAATATTACCTTGGACCTCAGCACTATTCAAATTGTGGCTGAACCACTCATTGTTGTTTCAACTCAATAGAAGCATAACTCTAGAGATGGGATACTTGACTTTTCTCTGAGCTAAAGTAGGAAGAGCACAATTGGTTGGTTGCTTCAGCCAACATGTTTAATGCTTCCTGCTATTTCGTTTCCTTGTATCTTGACAGAAAAGCCTTTCAACACATTTTTTTTTTCTTTCCGGCAAAAAAAAAGATGAAATGATTGAAGTCTCTTAGGTATCCTCAGTGTTCTGTTTGGTTTTTCTCAGTGTAGATATGCCAAAACTCTTCACAAATTCCTCAATGAAAAATAAATAAATAAATAAACAAACAACAAAGCAAAACAAAAACATTGGTTAGAGAATACAAGTTAAATGGATTTATAAGAAAAAACCAAGGCACTTTGATTAAGGTGGAGATAACTTAAAATCAAGGTGTGAATTAAATAACTTGATTTTGAGCTTCATTATTATATAGCTTGATGCACTAAAATAAAATGAGTAATTTCCATTAATTATAAAATATGCCTCTCCCCAAGATCCATATATTTGTGTATATACATATATATATATATATATATATATATATATATATATATCCTTTATTTTAATTTATTAAAAATATTTAGTGCTGAGAGATATTATTAATAATGTTATGTGAGTGTCCTTTTAAATTTTTTGATTATTTCTAACACTCATTTTCTGCTTTTTTAAAAATAAAGATCATTTGTGCCATTGTTAGGTCAGTTCAATATTTGCTGTTGCAAAAATAATGGAATGAAAAAAGCATTTCCAGGAGTTTTTGAATGGAAGTAATGATGCTTGGAAACAGTAATAGGAAGAAACCCATGGGGAAAAATCAGATGGCATTAATCACTGGGAGAACACAAAATACAACTGAAAAATGTTTATTGCTTCTTTATGACTGTTAGATATGAACGAGCTGTCAGTAATGCTGGATAAGCAGTCATTGCCAGAGACTTTGGCTAATCCTTTCCAAGTTGACAGAGAATCCACACTATTTTGGGGAGGAGAGGATTGGTGTAAGTGAGGATGATATTAAAGAAGAGAGAACGACAAGTTGAGATTGTGCTAGGAATAGCTGCTAAGAGTATGGATTGACTAAAGTAAGATGCTAATTAGGAATGAAATGATAAATCCATCCTCTGGAAAAAAAAAATTGGAGCTGTGTAATTCTGATGTTTTTTATGCTATGCCATAGAGAGCACTGAAGACATACATCCCTAAAGCACTTACAGATTTTTTTTAAAAAAAAATCAAACAATAAACCATCAAATAAAAAAAAATCTTTTCATGTTTTTGGTGCCTCTTCATTTTACATTCTGTTCCTCTTCCCACACTTCAAGCCCTCCCTCAAGCTGCCAGCTGGAATATTTTGATTGAGAGCAGTGCCCATAAACAATTACACTTTGTGACATTTGATRTAGCAAGCCCAGAAAGCTAGAGATGGATTTAGTGAAGAATATGTGGCCAGCCGAAGCCACCTGGAATGTTAGGTTGGAAAAGATCAGAAAGTTGGACTTGGCAGATTCAATTTTAGTGTGTCTGGAGTGAAATTCAGAGAAAGCAATGATCAACARTGTTTATGTAACTATAACTTTCTATCTGTATTTTCAAGGTAGAGATATAGGATTCATCTCATTGTTCATATCCACCTGGTAGATACATCTGCTGTCTTCTACCTAAGTAGATATGGATGTGAAACTTAATGCATCAGTACCTTGATCTAAGTCTTGTCTTGTCCCCATCAAGACAGAGGGAGGAGCATGGACAGTTTCAAAAAAAAATTATGAATGTCTATATATCTGCCTGGTTTGTAGCTGTCATTAGATCCCAAGGGATCTACTACCATTCTCAAGAGGAAAAAGAACTACATAACAATGTGATAGCTGTGCTTATCCAAATTTACCCAGCAACTTCCTAATTACCAAATACAGCCTCTGTTCTCTCTCTCATTCTAACTGTCCCCCATATGTGCACACACACTCTCCCTCTCCCCACACCTCCCTCTCTCTCTCTCTCTCTCTCTCTCTCTCTCTCTCTCTCTCTCTCTCTCTCTCTCTCATTATAGCATATTGCTGTACTTGATCTCCCCTTTATAGAAATTCTTCTAATGTCAGAGTTATTATTTTCTCCTTATTTCCTTGCTACTTTCCTGGTAAGCTTCTTCTCAGTCTCTCATTGACTGCTCTTTCTTCACCTACCACTAAATGGAAATACTCCCCTACATTTCTGTTTTCTCTCATTCTGTTCTCCTTTGGACAGTTCCCATGGCTTCAACTTGTGTTGATCTATGCGGTTGACATGAATGGAACACTCTCCCAAGTTTGTAAATTCTCTTTGAGCTTACACATGTTTCCATTCATCTAATGAATATACATGTTTATAAAGGATAACTTCACTTATGAAAGAAACATTAGAACTGCATCCTTTTCCATTCATCTCAACCAAAACCACCCTCCCCCCTAAAACTAACACCCTCTATCATGTGAACTTTACATTTGTTTTCTAACTGCTTCATTCACTATTCCCCTAAAATTTCCTTTCATTCTTTTGTTGGCTTTCTCCACTCACATCACAAAAAAAAAACAGAATATATTTTCATAATTAATTAAAACTCATACAGTGTTTTCCCATTGCTTTCCGAACTAGATCAAAAGTACCACACCGTTCCCGTTCAGACCCATACAGTCTCTTGGCTTACAAATKATTTCAGTATTATGTGGCCTGGTCTACTTCCTTCACAATATACTTACCACACTGTTCAGTTGCAATTCTATTTTATCTAGGTCCCCAGAGTATTCAATGATTCTGCATCACCAACAGGAAAATTCCACTGATCTTAACTATTATTTAACATTGGAAACTTTMCTTTCTAATTTATTTACTTTCTAATTTATTTGCTTTCACAAACCTTGTACTATTCATTCTTGCCTACATGATTATCATATTTACCTGCTTCTGCTTTTGATTATTCTTCTCCATTTGGAATGCTCTTCTCCTGTTTTTGAGCATCATAATATTACCTAATCCTAAAAATAAAGGGTTAGTAGCAAATAATACTGCCACCAGAAATTCTTTTTTAGAAGCTATGATTAATCTTTATGTGCTGTAMACAAAATCTTTGATCTTTGCAAGTAGTATGTTTTTTGACTGTTAATTATAGTTATATATGTACATGCCTAACTTTCTAKTCTAGATAATAAGCTTCTTGAATTTTTTTCCATTTCTAATTAGTCATTATATCCTTCACATTTCTGTTTCCTTTGATTAATAAATTGCTCTCCCCTGCTGACGACAGACAAGCAAACAAACATATCAGTGGCTCACAGTTGTTCTTATAGTCAAATCCGACTTTCTCTACGTGGATCCAAAGTCTTTGTTTTTTCTTCCATTGTACACACTATTACCATATAGTATATTCTCCTGTAACAACAGAATCATTACTGTTTTGCAAAACACATCATGCCCTCATACTTTCCAACTTTGAATTGTTCTTGAAGTTTTCCTCCACTGTCTCCTGTCATTGAACCTGAAGGTTAGCCACATATTTCTCTTACATCTCCCTGTAGGGCTCTGCATTTCACTTGTTGGCCTGCTTCTCTGCTTATCAGCTGTAACTTTCTGGGGCACAGGTATTATGTTTTACCTTTGAATCCCAGAGTACCAGGGACCTACCAAGTGYTTGATAAAGATGTGTTGAAAAAACAAATAACTGCAAGCTTTTCAGTTGGAATTTTACTCATTATTCAAGGTTCTTCTCAAATCCCATCCTCTCTATGAAGTCCCTTAAGAACCCCCATTTGGAATTAATCCCTCTGTCTCCTACAGGCCTCCCTTAGCCTCTCACAGAATGTTAGGCATGATATTTTTGTAAGTTCATTGTTCATATGTGTGCCTACCTTCTCCCCAAGCTCTACCACTATGTGCTTCAGAAAACTGTCCTTGAAGCTCCCAGCTAGGTGAAATCTCTTCCCTTGACTTCTCAAGTTTCATAAGACACTCTTGATATTATAAGAAATGCTTTCTCATATTTAAATTTCAGTGCCTAATATGATACCTTTTAGAGCTCATAGAGGAAGGCAGTAGGATCTAAAATTATAAACATAGTAGAAAGAGAACATTTTATAAATGAACTAATTAATGACTTAAGATAACTAGATGAGTGATAGAAATTTCATTTTCTTTTTTAAGGTAAATGAAATCCTCCAGTTTTTTTACTAGTTTTAAACAAATTTTWTCTTTATTTCTGATTTTTGGCAACATTTCTTTTATGTTACTGGTTCTATTCTCTTTTATGGTATCTTTGTTCTGTGACACTACAAAACAGTATCTTATATATTTAATAAATTAAATATAAAAGTCTTTAATATGTTATATTTCAATTTTATATTTGAACTCAATATTAACAAATTAATATTACCAAATGCCTTAAGTCCCTTTCACTTCTAGTTCTTAAAGTTGTCTACAGACAGAACAAAGTAGCATTTAGAGTGAGTAGTTCTTATATTTACCTGGCTGCCAGAAATTGGGATTCTGGAATTATTTTTTTAACCCTGAGCAAGTTATTCAAATTGAAAATGTCATTGTAAATATGCAAATATTATGGAAATGCTCTTACTGATTAGGATAATTCTAAGAAAACTAATTATGTTTCTGGCCTACCCATCTGTGAGAACGGTCAATCATGGAACTGGTTATCATATTTAGATTAAAAGCTATTAAGACTAGTACCTGTAAAAGAATCAGGAAGCTCAAGAAATATTAAATGATCCTATGAAATACAACGAGTGTTGTCTTTGATTTAAAATTACAGCAGTTTCCTAAAAGAGTCTACACAAATAATCTATTATCCACACTTTAATCAGAGTCTTATGGCTGTACTTTTAGATGCACGCCCATCTAAATTAATCAAAATTGAAATGTTAAAAATGCTGGTAGAGGGGCTGGGGATGTGGCTCAAGAGGTAACGAGCTTGCCTGGCATGCATGCGGCCCGGGTTCGATCCTCAGCACCATATACAAAGATGTTGTGTCCGCCGAAAAACTAAATAAAATAAATAAATAAATATTTTTTAAAAAATTCTCTCTCTCTCTCTTTCTCTTTCTGTCTCTCTAAAAAAAAAAAAAATGCTGGTAGAAGCTTGGAGGTTCCACTTTGGATTTAGTGTATACATGAAGTTATAACTATGTTTAAATCCACTTTAGTCATTGAAACATCAAAAGCAAGAATGAAGTCTTAATATTTATGGTTTACCATAAGAGTTCATATCTAGGAGGCTGGGGATATAGCTCAGTTGGTTGAGTGCTTACCTAGCATGCACAAGGTCCTAGGCTCAATCCCTAGCACCAAAAAAGAGAGGGAGGGAAGGAAGGAAGGAAGGAAGGAAGGARGGAAGGAAGGAAGGAAGGAAGGAAGGAGAGTTCATATCTAGAACTTTCTTTGACTTTCCTTTTGGAACGCAAATCACTGAGAAATATGCCTTCATTTAGAGTTTTGTATTTGCTACAGATACTCTTTTTGCTTATCCTCTTCTGTCTTTCCTTTAAAAATCTTATCTTCTCATTGTTAAATGCTTGTTTTGTTTTTGCTTTATAGAATGTTTTTTATAGCCATATACTGCTCTATGACTTTTAATGAAAAAAAAAAAWATATATATATATAAATATATGGATGGAAGATAGATTGTGTTATTCCTAGAATATGAATTGCTTGTCGTTGGTATAAATTTATCATGCATGTATTTGCCTTATTTGTGTTTTAAAGGAATTGCAACAATATCTAGCTAACCTGGCTGAACAGTGCAGTGCTGATAATAATGGTGTAGAGCTCCCAGTTGTAATAATTCTTGATAATCTTCATCATGTGGGCTCTTTGAGTGATATCTTCAATGGTTTCCTCAACTGTAAATATAGCAAATGGTATGTTTATAAAATATCTTGAATTATCAAATATAAAAAAATGGTCATGTTATTTGCTTTCTTGTACCTTTTTTAAAATTTTAAAACCTACAATGGATGCCATTAATTTGAGAACCCCTGTTTAATATATTTTTACTGTATACCAAAGAATTCATGTATTCCTTAGAACATCTATTCATTCCATAACTGTGTCCCAGCATTTTTATTACTTCCTTAATGATGTTATCTTCTACAGACATGCTGAAAGTCTGAGAGACCAATGTCAATGATGGAATAGTTCAAATCAGGGAAATTCATAACTAGGAGATTTTAGAGCTCCAGTTTCCTTCTCAGTTTGTATCAAAGTTTAAATTCAACTCCTCAAGTAAATTTAATTCATTCATATGTGACCCCCTCTTGTATTATGTTTTTTACTATTTAAAACAAAAAGAAAGGTTAGAGTAGGGAATAAAAAGATCTGAAAACCCACTAAGATTTATTATAGCCTTATCTCTAAAGAAAGGACACTTAATTACACAATCAGCATAAGTGACATCTATTTTAATGGTACCAAATGTTCTAATTAATTAATCTCTGATAGTGATAAAATGTTAGAATTATATCAGCATAAAGAAGGGTTGAAGGAAGAATACAAACCCTCTTATGTTATGTAGAACATTTAAATAACTATAGAATACTAAAATAGGAATTAGTAATAAATTTGAATACAAGCATAAGAGTTATAAGATTTTAGAGTGGGACAAGACCATAGCCTCTTTAYTTTGTAGATGAGTAAACTCCGACTCAGAGAAGGTCTCTTTCCTGCATCCCAATGCCATACTTAGAACCCCCATGGTAACTTCTATTCCAATCATCTTTGTCATTTTCCAATCTAACATTACAAAATAACCCTTTCAAAGCCTACTGTTAAAATGGAATAATCCATATTTATCTTAATAGCTTTCACAGGCAATGTTAATGTATTAGTCATTTTTACCTCTAACACATCTCAATTTCCTATTCTTTATTTTTACCTAGTCCATATATTATTGGAACAATGAATCAGGGAATTTCTTCATCACCGAATCTAGAGCTGCACCACAATTTCAGGTAAAGATTAGTCAAAGGATGTTTTTGTTTCTTGGTTTCTGGGTGGCTTTTTTTTTGGTTGTTGTTGCTGTTGTTGTCCCCACCCCCCCACACACACCTCCCCACCCCTGCCCCATGGAGTTTCTTTTTGTTCATTTCTGGTGGTTTGTTTGTTTGTTTCTTCCATTTGTTCTTTTTCGTATCCTGCCAGTTGGTGACCTGTGATGTGAAAATAATTCTCACTTCTTCTGACACTTTTTCAAAAAGACATTTCGTGATCCTCATTCTATAATCAGAAGTGTTTCTTTAAAAAGAGAGAAGAATAGAAATGTTTTTCCTGCTCACTGTGTTCCCCTGCCTGAGCAGAGCACTTTTCCTCTAAGTGTGAGGAATGTGAAGAGAGTTCCTATTTCAGGATTCGTGATTCTCCTACAAAAGAGGGCTCAGCATGTAGACGCCCACTCACTTCTGACGCACACAAGCTTCTCTTTAGCTGGTGGCATTTGCAGCATTAAAACTCTAATGCCGATAGACTTCCTAACCTCTTGATCATTAAAATGTGGCCCTCAGTTGATATAGGAATATTATTACTAAAGTTACTGTGGGATTAAAATTTAATTTATATAAAAATTTCTCACTTTATTTTTCTTTTCACAGATGGGTATTGTGTGCAAACCACACAGAACCAGTGAAAGGCTTTTTAGGCAGATATCTTCGAAGGAAACTGATAGAGATGGAAATTGAAAGGAACATACGCAATAATGACTTAGTCAAAATTATAGATTGGATTCCTAAGACGTGGCATCATCTGAACAGTTTTTTGGAAACACACAGTTCTTCTGATGTTACAATTGGTGAGTTCCAAAATTATAATATGCCATTTTCCAGGAACCAGGAGTACTTGGTAAAGATGGCCAGATTGGATGGTAGAAAACAACAAGCAAAGCCAATGTTTTTCAAGCTTCCAAAGATTTAACTTCTTTTTTTTTTTTTTTTTTTTTTGCTTTCTAAAAGTTTGTCTTCTTCCAAGTTTTGTATCACTAATTAGATTCATTTTGTCTGACAATTATGGCTTACTAAAATATTATTGAAATCAAAGAAGTTTGATACAGACTAATATGTAAATATCAGAGAACTTCTCAAAATAAATAGTATCTGTTTAGGATACACTATATAAACACAAATTAACTCATCTCAAATATAGTTGTGAGGGAAGATTTTAGTTGGAAATAATTTAGATGTTCTATAGATACTTTAGGTGATTTATATTTTTCATGAAGAAAAAGCTGAATTATTTCTCTTTCACAGTTATAAATAGTTTATTTTTGTGTTACCTCTTAAGTTGCATGTACATAAATCTCTTTCCCATTGTTACAGATCATAAAAACATTCTGACTACAGATACAAGCACAGATTAGGAAGAATTCTATGCTTGGAGCAGAGTATCCATACTCAGACCAAATTCTACAAACAGTGACATGTTTTATCTTCAACAGTTCATTTCAGCACAGCTGAATTTTACATTGTTTGTAAAATAGGACAGGTTGACTAAAYTGTGACCTTTACCCTTTCTCCTCTCTCATATTGTGCTTTAGATTAATATTTTAATATAAAACTTTAAAAGGRCTAGCCAGGAGATGGGATCTTCAGTAAACATGCTTCAGTAATGATTAAGCTGGTGAGATTATAATTCTCTAAGAATGTTGAAAGAAATATTAAGTCTCCCAAAATGGTGTCTAAATATGTATTTATAATATTTCTCAAACATATTTTGCTATTTGTGTCTTCTCAGGTCCCCGACTTTTCCTTCCTTGCCCCATGGATGTAGAAGGTTCTAGAGTGTGGTTCATGGATCTTTGGAACTATTCTTTGGTACCTTATATTCTGGAGGCAGTGAGAGAGGGTCTTCAGGTATAGTATCCATTTTGCATTACTATCTAAAAAGCAAAGCAGAAAAAAAAGTTATTCTTTTAATAGCAAAAAGTATTAATTTCTGTATTTATGCAGAAAACTAAAAGCATGTAATATAGATAGAGGAGGAAAAGAGCAATGAGCATGCAGTACTTTGTCTGTTATGACAACAAAGATGTAAGAGAGAGTAAATACATTTCTTTCAGCAACTACATTTTCAAGGCCAAATTAGTTGCAGGGGAGATTTAGATTGTTCTTATTAGAAAGCCACGTTATTGTAGTTCTATTTTCTATGACACAGGCATATTTTTTTCACCTGAGCCTTAACCATTTATATGCTTATCACAATTTGCAGCAAGTAGTTTTTGCTTGTGCATTAGAATTCTTCATTAATTGAAGTCCTTCAATATGACTTGTAATAGCCTTTACTATTATTGAGGGAATGCTATAAATTCCAAGAAAGTTAGTTGGTCTTTTTTCTTTTCTTTTGTTTAATCCACAACAGGTAGCTTTAGCAGCATCTCTGCTGTTCCTCTTATCTGCCCTGTGTCATGAGGCCCTACAACCTCTCCTTCTGTTTAAGCTTATCTAAAAGGCAAACATAGGACAATAATAAGAAAATCTTGTTTCCTCAAAACAAAACAAATCAAAAAGTTATCCCTTTTCCATCAGTCTTGCTGTTTCCTTAAAATGGATTTGAAATTTCATGAAATTGGAGAATTAAAAACTCTTTTAAGATTTATATTACGTAATCACCCAACTCACTGTGCAGGAATCCAATCTCCTTTTCAATAACTCAGCCAGGATTTAGTCAGTTTTTGCTTGGACATTTTTATTTCTGGTTTTCACAACCAACTGCTACTAGAATTAAGATGTAGTTCATATTTTCAAAMACCTGTCATCTGTAATACTTGTTAAGTCTCTACCATCTAAAAAATTGGTCCTGTATTTTTTATTCTTTCATTTCCTGTCACTATATTTCTCTCTTCTAGTAGATTGATATAGCAGTACTTAGAACTACCATTTAATTCTGGTGAACATAGTAAACATTATGAAGATGTTCTGAATCCTTAGATGAAGTTAGGATGCTAACAATTCTATTGATTGTTTTTAACTCCAGATTTAAATAATCCAGTTTCTTATTTTGAGGGGTGTGAATGAATCTAGTCCTAGTAAGTACTTCCAAAAAAATAAGAGATGATGCCAATGGTTTTGATTTTTCAAATATAACAGATCATATTTCTCCTAAAACTATTATGCTGTCTAAGATATAATTCAGGTCGCTCAATTTTGATCATTTATGCAAAAATAATTTTATGAGAATCTATTTGCAATATAGAAATCATATTTTTAAATTAATAACCAAATGAATTGTTTATCCTTGAGATTCAGTTTCAATATTAAGCTCTCATCTAAATCTTTATATATAAAATTCTATTTTATATTTGCTTGCTAATAGGAAGAAAAGGAATCTTTTCTTAAACCCAGAACAATTATACCTAAACAATCCTTAGCTTCCTTTTGAAAGCTGCAAGAGTTTTTGTTTGTTTGTTTGTTTTTTAATCAATATTGTTTGGAAAACTTTATGCTGAGAGTAATATAAAGCTTATATTTCAGCAAAACTGTAATCATTTAAGTAATAGCAATTTTCCAAATTAAATTGAGATAAATACTTGACAGTTATTTTGAGGAGGAATGAATCTGTCTGAAGTCTCTTGCTATGGTTGTAGGTATTCAGGAATAAGTTAGTGTGAAAGCTGAATCAACCATGAGGTGAAGGAAGAGTTGGGAAAGACTAGAGAACAGGAAGAAAAGAACAATGTGGAATAGGAACAAAAGGAAAGCCTATTAGTGGGTAGGCATTTGTTGCTTTTGAAGGCTAGCTGGCCAGAAAAATCCCCTGGCAGAAGGCCTCCCTAGGATCCCCATCCATGACCCACCCCCCAGGGGGGAGCAGTAAACAAAGAGTCTTACATGCCATGGACAGTTCTCTTGGATCCATGGCAACACAGCACCTTGAACAGGAAGAAGAGGTGAAAAAAAGCAATGAAGCCTGGTAGCCAAGATGACATTCTGAGTTAAGAGAAATCAAACCATCTCTTTTCAGATGAAGGCTAATGCTTTGGTGAGGAACCATCTGGGAAGTGCTCTGTGCCACTTGGTCTACTTGGAAAGTATGCTAGTGAAGCAATGGATTCGATTTTTATTCTGATGACTCTTTCTTGAAATGTTAGCAGTCAGTTCATCTTATCCTGAATGTTTAGATTTCTTTTCATCCTTTTTCTATAATATTGATCTCACTCCAGAATACAGAGTTGGGCCGGTTTCGATTTCATTGTCACCTCCAACTTGGCTGTCCTGGATGCTTCCCTAACAGACTGGCATTGGTTGCTTCTAGATTCTCGTGTTCTTTTTAAGGTTGATTCTAGACTCAAACTCTTCTCTCTTTTAACATAAACCTTCCAAGAACTATACATTTTCCTTCAATTACTTCAACTTGTATAGCAAGCTATATTTTACATCCTTTATAAAGCAGGTTTTCSGCAGAGAGGAAACCTTCTGTTCTAAAACAAGAGAACTATTTTTAAAAAGATTCAAAATGCTACCTCTGCCATCATCTCCTAAGGAAGTGCACAGATGTCAGGAACTAGACTTCCCTTTCTCTCTCTCTGTTTCTCTCTTCTTTTTCTTTTTTTAGGTTAGACTGAAAATGCTTACATAACTTCTTCAGAAAGTTTCAAAAGCAATGCATAGACTTTTCATTGCCATAGCCACATGCCACTTTTTTACCTCACTGAACCACGACAAACTATGCAGAGGACCAGTCATCACTATATGTCCTGTGAGCTTGGATACATACCTGGTAACCAGGGTCATCCACAGTGATGTAGGCTAGGAGAAGAACCACATCACCACCTCTTTCTCTCAATTTTAACTGTTCTTTCTGGGTCCCTTATGGCCTATGGCCTTGTGCTTTTTTTTTTTTTTTTTCTCATCACCTTCTGTCTTCATAGTGTTKTTTTTTTTTTTTCAATTGTTTCCAGATTAAAAATGCTTAATACCTCTTGGATTCATTTTTCTCTTTAGCTATGCTGGGTCATCTTTTTCTTATTGGGCTCATTGCCTCTGTATGAATTCTTGAAACTTTAGTCTCCTATTTTTCCTCCTCTTTTCCTAGTCATCTTTTACATAAACATTTAAAAAGAGTTTTTACAGGAAGTCTTGGAACTATTAGAGGAAGGTAATTGGAAGAAGTGGTTATCAGAGAATGGATTCTTGATCTCAAAGTTTGAATGAATTAGAGAAAAAGTCTTTTTTTCTTTTGATCTGAAGTGTGCTTCAGTAGCAAACTCTTTTAATTATAAAGATTCATTTTTTTAAATCCTCACAAACTGGAGCTTTTAGTTATTCTCATTGAGTTTTATCATGGTTTGTAAAACTAATACTACAGGGATACTTGCCACATCGATGTTCATAGCAGCACAATTCACAATAGCTAGACTGTGGAACCAACCCAGATGCCCTTCAATAGATGAATGGATAGGAAAAAAATGTGGCATTTATACACCATGGAGTATTATGCAGCACTAAAAAATGACAAAATCATGGAATTTGAAGGGAAATGGATGGCACTAGAGCAGATTATGCTAAGTGAAGCTAGCCAATCCCTAAAAAACAAATGCCAAATGTCTTCTTTGATATAATGAGAGCAACTAAGAACAGAGCAGGGAGGAAGAGCAGGAGGAAAAGATTAACATTAAACAGAGACATGAGGTGGGAGGGAAAGGGAGAGAAAAGGGAAATTGCATGGAAATGGAAGGAGACCCTCATTGTTATACAAAATTACATATAAGAGGTTGTGAGGGGAATGGGAAAAAAAACAAGGAGAGAATTGAATTACAGTAGATGGGGTAGAGAGAGAAGATGGGAGGGGAGGAGAGGGGGGATAGTAGAGGATAGGAAAGGTAGCAGAATACAACAGTTACTAATATGGCATCATGTAAAAATGTGGATGTGTAACCAATGTGATTCTGCAATCTGTATTTGGGGTAAAAATGGGAGTTCATAACCCACTTGAATCTAATGTATGAAATATGATATGTCAAGAGCTTTGTAATGTTTTGAACAACCAATAAAAAAAGACAAATGTGGGCAGTAAAGTCTACATGTATTAATAAAAAGCCTTCCTCATATTATCCCTCAAATACTGATTATGTGGCCAGATGTTCAGTTTCATTTTGTCCATCCTTCAACTTTTAAGTGAGCTATGTAGAACAATCTAGAAAACTATATACAGATGTCTTCATTCCCTAAGTCCCATAAGAACTCAAAGCGCAAAAGAAACACTTGATAAGGAGTCGGGATTTTTACTTAGTAGAAATTAACTTTATATGCACCAACTCTGTGGTTAACTTTCAGATGTATGGGAAGCGTGCACCCTGGGAAGATCCCTTAAAGTGGGTGCTTGACACATACCCTTGGAGCTCAGCCTCTCTGCCTCAGGAAGGACCAGCATTACTTCAGTTGCGACCGGAAGATGTTGGGTATGAGGGCTGCACCTCTGCTAAGGAAGCCACAACCTCAAAGCACATTCCACAGACAGACACTGAGGGGGACCCCCTGGTGAGAAACTGATGGTTGATTCTTGCTATATAACCCTGACATTGTTGTGTGCTTATTAGCATTTAGTCATCTGCATCACAGACATGGGTTGTCTTCAGTAATATTGGGGACTGCCTTGATATTGGTACTCAGTTTTAGTTACCTTTAGCCTGCTTTAGTTGGATGAAATTCATACAAAGAAATCTAAAACTGTATGCTAAAAACAGTCAAGAAATTCTGAAACCAGTTTGAACTTCATGACTACAATATCTCTCTTATTTTGCATTGTGTTAACAAATAAATAAATTTTAAGTAACATAACTCAGTTCACTAGGCCTTTAGAAGAAAACTGAATTTTGTACTTAAATGAGAAAACCAAAGTTTATGATCTAATGTATACTAAAGTATATTTTACATATATCAACCAGCCTGATTAAATTCAGAATTGGTCTTCTGTTGACTATAATAGGGAAGGATAAACTGGCGGGGAAATCAAAGGAAAGTTATACTTCTTGCTTTGCTCAATTTGCAACGTATATGGTTTTAGTTTTTAAAATATTAGAATAATTTGAATAAGCCTATAGAACTCCAAAGTATGAATATTCAGAAAATTATTAAATAGACAGTATTTTTAGGAATAGATGCTGATTTTTCTGCATCTATTTTTATTTTTATAAATTACTTTCTGTATGTTAGTATCAAATGTAATTATCTTATCATTCTATGTGTTTATTAGCTTATCATTCTATGATTCAAGGGATCATTGGATTTGTACAACCAATACAGAAAGAAAAGATATTGAAATAAGGCTAATATTCTACTTAAAAGAAATTAATTGAAAATCAGAACTTATGACTCTACCCAAGGACATAAAATGACTTAAAATTTTGAGAAATAATCTTATACCAGTAACCCAATATGTGAACATCATCATCATCTCAGCTGATCCTTCTTAACATTTTGGGAGTTACATGTAGAACATCCAATAAACTTTCAAGATACACCCACACAGAAAATTTTGCAAACTATTTCAAGAGTTCTATAAAATCTCTGAAATATGCACAAAGACATGTTTAGAGTCCAGAGTTCCTATGTGTAAGATAAATGATGTAGCCTAATTCATGAAGGCCAAGACTCACATTTTTATAACATGGTACCTAGAATCAACAGTGGTAGTAGAATTGGTTTAAATCCAGCATAATGATTATCATATACTAAATAATTGCTGATAGAATGGATAAAATTTAGTAAAGTGTAAATTTTAACATACAAGTATGGATTATTTAATCTGAATGTTTAGTAATTCCTATCTAATCTGTGTAATTTTGTTATAGTATGTCTGTTTTAGATAAGGAGCAATATTTATATATAAGCTTTGTTTTCACTGTTAGTCTGTAGATTGTGGAATGCTCTGGAAATGACCTCAGCTTCCCAATCCCCCAGTCCTAGGGCTAACCTTATTAAGCATTCTTTTTCCTTGTCTTCTAATGCAGGAAAGAGAGCCAGGGTCTCCTATCTTGACAGGATAATTGGAGCAAAAAAAAAAAAAAATTCAGTTTTCTTATCTGCTACTTCAACAAAAATCTAAAGAAAGAAGAGATTATGATATCTTGCATGCTAAATGGCCAAAGATATCATCTAAAAGTAAATCTTAAGGTCAGACATCCTGATAGGAAAATAAATATTCTCTACCTGCCTTCATTTTTGTATATTTCTATAATTACTGACATAAGGAAAACTATATTTGCAAATGAGTCTATATCAGAAATCCTAGGAAGGGTAGAGATTTAGCTCAGGGCCTAGCATGTGTGAGGCCCTGGGCACTACTCCCATCACTGCCAAAAATAAATAAACAAACACCTTAGGGAAAATTTATTATTTAATATCAGAAGTCTGGCTTTAAATCTGAACAAGAATACAAGTTTTGGAACACATTTCACCTTATTTTAAAAATATGGTGGGCATTCATCATCAACAAGCTGAAATTTAATAAACATGTACCTAGTGCCAAGATTTAGTGATCATGAGGTAAGTTATCATTTCTGATTTTACGAGGTTTACAATATAATAGTGGAGCAAGATGTTTGCCTACATAAATTACAGTAAAATAATGATGGGCTTTGTAGGAAAAGTTATGAGTCTATCGAGGAAATAATTAGGAGAAAGTTTCATGGAAGAAATGCTTTATCTGGTCCTTGAGGGATGAATAGGAGTTTATGATATGGTTGGATGAAGAACATCCAAAATTGAAGAAACAGCACATGAAAAATTATAATATAATAAAAATTATGAATTTGGGGAGTTATGTTGGAGTTGGTCAGAGGAATTAAAACTAGAGAAGTAAATAATTGCTGGATCATGTTAAGCCTGTGCATCTTTGCATGGAGTCAAACTTTATCACAGACAACGGAGAGCCTCTAAAGGTTTTTGAATAGTGACTTATCTAGTTAGATGTGCAGTTTCTAAAAATCACTTTGCTAACAAAGCAGAAAATGGATTGAAGGAGAGGGACAAAGGCTGGGAGACTAATAATTCTGCTAGGAACACCTAGGAACTGACCAAGGTGTTAGAAATGATGGACATTATATTATGACTGTGGACACAGGGGAGCAGCAGAAGAAAACCAATGGAGACCACTTTCACAGAGAATTATGACCTGTCATAATTGAATCACCCATAAGTTTACCTTCCTTTTGTAATCTCCTTGGATAACAGTGAACAAAGCAATACTATCAGGAGGCAAAGCAAATCTCATTGTATATATTTATTAGGAATCTGAGCTTGGATCTTACGCTAATGGAACATATTTACTGCATGGAAACATTTTCAAAACTTAAGATGTTAATTACACTATTATTACACCGCAAAACCTTAACAACATTTAGCATTTAAATAGTTCCAAACATTTTTGGCTGCAATAGAATCCTATCCCTTTTAACAGATTCCTTTACCATTTCTACTCCTAGTAAATCAGGAGGGTGCTCCAAACACAGTTCTGTTATACACATCAGTTTCCCAAATGCTTGAACATGCAGCCAGCTGCTAAGGAGGCAGACAAAAGACCAGGGGGAGGGCATATGAATGTTCATGAATGTAGGGGGGTGGGGTGGGGAGAATGAGAGGAAGAGAGAGACAGAGAGATTGATTTGACTTTTTGGCTTGCCAGATTTAAAAGGTTATCACATCTACCTTTACTTTTAATCCTCATGTAGGTGACTTAGTGCATTCAGAGAGTCAGACCGAAAGACTGAATTGAGATCAAAAAGTATTGTCCTGAGACTATTAAGAATGACTTTAAATATTCAGTAACTGTAACCTCTTTTTTCAGAAGGACATTCTTGCAGAAATTGGTGATTATACCCAGTTTATCATTCATTTCACAAGTATTTATTGAACACACAGTTTATGCTGAACATACAAATATGCATAGCCCATCTTATGACCAAGGATCCTGTTTGAGATTTTTCCTTTCTATTCTTTTCAGTAGAAGAAAAAGAACACCTACAATTACTATATAAAAGAAGATAACTAGTGTGCATTAAGCAATATAAAGTTGATGTATAAAAAAAACATGATAAGAAACATGTCCATTATCCTCATTAAGATACGTGTTGATTTTTCTGTGCTTTCTAAAATCATCATACCATCTATTTATCYAAAATTTGTTTTTGAACAAAATTTTTTTTTCCGCTTCTATCTCTAATAGTAGAGCAGCAGATCTATCAAAAGGCAAGCAATRTTACTGCCTTTTATTTTGTAATACACGGAATAGCTGCTATTCCCCCCAGGTGCTTTCAGGCATATGTCCTTTTGCTAGAACAAACATTAGCATTCTCTTATAAGGCTGGGAAACTTGAGACAGCCGCTATTGTTCCAGAAGGTGGTTTTTGTTTTCAGTGATATATCAATCATATTTCAGCCAGAAATTCAWTGACAACAAAAACTTGACAGTGATTTTTTTCCTTCTCCGTCTTCAAATGCTCATGGTCCGCTTCATTCTGTCACCTCCTCTCGAGGTCAGCTCCTAAACAGCAGATGGTGTGCTTGTGCGCAGCAGCTGGCTTCATTCCACTCCATCCCCTCCTTTCCCAGGGGGACCGAGTGCGCGGCTGGGCGTGCGTCTGTGTGTATGAACATTCACGACTCTCTGTTGCCATTCAGTGCTTTCTGCTTGTCCCAGCCAAAAAGCTGGGAAGCTTGGMGGAGTCTCCAGCAACCAACCCAGATGTCCAGCTGTGATATAGCTTCCTCTCCARTCTCCCCGCTGGAGCAGTATTCATTCACAGCCCCAAATAAAAGAGTTATCTCCCAGCCCTATTTTGTCCTTATGGTTTGGTATTATAGTCACATGTTTGGGGGAAACAGCATAGGAGCTGGGGCAAGGAGTGACAATGTGGAACTATTTTCCCATTCGGCTTGGTTGGGATGCTGGGGACCTTTGGGGTGGCTTGGGGCCTCCTTTGTTCTGGGGCCAGCTGATTCAATATATCATTGCCTCCATCATGTCTCTTTTTCTTTCTTCAGATGAATATGCTAATGAAACTCCAAGAAGCAGCCAATTACTCCGGCACACAAAGCTGCGACAGYGGTAGCACCAGCCACCATGAAGACATTTTGGATTCGTCTCTTGAATCCACCCTTTAGAGGGTGGACAGAGTTAGGGGAAAAGATGATGCTTTAAAAAAAAAAAAAGTGTTTTAAAAGAAAGGTATTTTCACTAAACCACTGCCAGTATAAAAGCACCCTGTCAGGGGCCCTGACCCAGAGTCGTGGTCTTCAAGGAGGCAGCAGAACTAAGTCTGAATCGCCAAGATGCTAAATTGAAATGGGAGCTTAACTTTATTTTATTTCTAGGCATTTTTTATATCCATGGAGTAAGAGAAGGCTCCATTACTCAACTGGAAAGGACCCTAATGACAGGGCAACTGAAGAGATTGCACATGGGATAGCCAAACTGGACTTTAGTTTCTTCCTCTTTAAAAGTTTACAATGCAGACCTTTTTTTGTCCCTTCCTTCTGTTTCCTCTGAGGGGCTGTTCTCCCCAGGCAGGGTCCATTCTTCTGATCCGTCCAACCTCCTCTGTGCCGCATGGTGCTGGTCACAGGGCTCCAGTAGTGTTTGTGTTGTGCGCTCACCCCATTCCAGAATGAATCCAAGAGGCCAGTCCTCCATAAGCACAAGTGGAATTGTGCAACCACCAGAAAAAACACTACTGTGGCAAACTGGAGAAGTGCCAACTCAATTCTAACTGCCATGGTCTCATGACGTGCGCCACCCACTTTTTAGTGTATGAGTCCCAGGTTTTATAAGGTTGTTTTTACCACCGTGGTCTTTTTAAACCACCTGCCCACTCCCTTAACAAGAGTTTTATACCAATTATTAGTCAACACTGACAAAAGGCTTTCTTAGGGCTTTATTTGTTTGAGCCTTTTCAGTGAAAGAAGGAACATTTCCTATGGTGCTGTCTCACTGCCTTAAAACAGATTTCTACAACAGGTTAGTTAACAGTTGGTTTAAATCCTAAACCATTGGTAATTTCCACTGTCTTTTCATTTACAACCAAGAACACCAGTTATCACAGTAGCTTCATCTCTCTATATCATTTTTTTTGTTTTGTTTTGAAGAAATGGATAGGAGAAAGATCAGTATTTTTATCTCATGAATAGATTGCTTTGCCTATCCTCAAAGTATTCGAGTAATCCAGAAACCCTCTTTGACCGTCACAGAAAAGCAGAGACGTGGCTAAATTCCATCCAGTTTTAAGTGAAAGAGTTTCAGAAGGTGGGAGATTTTGAATTTGTATCCAGCAGAGCTGGAAGCACTAGATGCAGCATGAGCACAACTATTTGGCTTTCCTTCCCTATTCTTTCTTATATATTTTTTTTWAAAAAATTAGTTTTGACGCATGTTGTTTTGATTGCTATTGTTGTACATGAGAAATTCAGCATTAAAGAACACTGAAGCAGTAAAGTCACTGTGGAAGAGGAAGCGTTGATACTGTAAAAGAAGGTTAGATTTGCACAGTCTACTGGGTAGGTATTGTAAATAATAATTTTTCAAACTTGCACAAATCAAATCAAGCAAACAAAATTGTATTTTATCCCGTTGGTGTTAAGAGGTGTTTCACTTGCTGAGATTTCCTGTACGTTGCAAACAAATACAGAATGCAAACCCTCAAAGCTGTTATTATCTGGTGTGTTTGTCCTGTGTTTACAGTTGGTATGACTATGCAGGAGCTATCAGTGCTAGAGTGAGCATGCTTCAAAACTGTACATGAAGCCAATACATTTTTGGATAAATAAAACTGTCTGAGAGTACATCTGTTGTGGCAGGCTTTAAAGAGAGTGCATGAAAACTGATCAGTCATTGGAGAAGTTACCATCACACACAGAGGACAGGTGTTAGGTTTATGAAACCCAAGGGCTAGGCCATGGCATAGACTAGTTCTGTGAGTGTGAAAAAGTGTGACCTTTAGGACGTGTAATTGGTGCTATCCTCTGTGACCACCCATGGGTCAGTTGCTACAGAACAATAACATCAACCCAAGACATCAGTGCCGCTTTCAGAGTGTTTCTAAGTGCATAGGTCCTTACATGGTGCTATTGCCCTGAGGGAATTGGAGCTGAATTTATGCACATAGAATTGTCACCCTGACTTTGAAGCCTCAAACATGGATCAAATCTGTTGTGCACCATCAATTTATGTAGCTGGATGAGTGACTAGTTGCCCTTGTATAATATGTGATCTAAGAAAATTGCTAATCTTTCCCTGCCATTTTGAGAAACACAGTCCAAACATGAGCATAAACAGAAATTCCTGCAATACATGCCAGTAGGTCCACCTAGTTTACAACTTAAACTAGTTTGTGAAACATTTGTCTGTATACATTTTATATTTTGTACATTTTGATGTAACATATCATGTAAATAGGCAGAAACAGTGAAATAAATCATCTGAAAAGTTTTGTAGTCTTTGTAAAGCCCCAACAATAAGTACTTGGTGTCAATGGACTTAACTGGATGACGTATTTTCTATTGGTTTATTGTTCCTCTAGCTTGTAAACCAGCTTGCATATATTTTTTTGCAAATGTGCACCCTGTATCTGTCTAAATTATTACTTTGCCATTAAAGTGGAATTATTTATTGACAACAAGGTGTGGTGTCTATGTATGCAGAAAAATTGGGTAATTACGCACAAGGAAGTGTCAAGCTTTAAAATGTTGCTTGAACAATTCACATTCACTGTCAACATTAGGGATGCGTGTGAATTTATATTCTACATACATCATAGGTAAAGCCCAAAACTTTTAAGTAAAGAAATAAACACAATAGGTATATCTGTTAAAATGAAAGTTATTTATTCAGTGAATATTTTTAGAAAGTTCTTAATAGACTTCCTATATGCCTGATGATAAAATAAGAATCAATATAAAATAAAATGTTGATATTTGCTAAGTTAAATCAACTTATTAAATGTTTCTTTGTTTTTATTCYATTTTCTTCTGATCATTTAGCTTTAAAGATGATTTTAAAGCAAACTAATTCTTTGCATTTTTGCTTATTTTTAAGAGTATATTCCAAAATGAAAAAGAAATTTAAAAAACACTATAATATCTTTCAAAGTAATTTTCTTTAACCCCAGCAATTGGAATGTATGCTTGTATGATATAAGCAAGATAATTTTTGAATTAGAATAGTTTTAGAGCAGAAAAAAAGGCATTAGTTAAAATGGATCATTTATCCATAATGATTTATAATAAATATATTTGTTCCTTCACCCAGTTGAGAGATACAGGAAGTTTCTTCAATTCATCTCATTCAAATAAACAATCTCAAATTTAGGSCTGGGGATGTAACTCAGTGGTAGAAATTGCCTGGCACAAGGCCCTGCATTCATTCTCTAGTACCTGAAAAGAAAACAAACAAATTTAAATTTCATTCTGCTAAATGCAATGTAAGGGCACATAAGTGTGAATCCCAGCACTGTTCTCTCTGTGACCTTGAATAATTTACTCAAACTCAGTGCCTCAGTGTCTTACCTCTGAAAAGATGGTAATAATAGTACCCACCTCTCACAGATCACAGTGAAGATCAAATGGGTAATTACATGCAAATGTMTTGAACATTGCCTAGCCTTTCATCAATTGTAGTTGATTTACAACCACATTAAGCTGCCTTAAAATGTTTAGTTCTATGTTTTTATCAGTGAAGATGTTTAAAAAGAAGCTCCAAATGTATTTTATTTCGTTTTGCTTTTGGGGGCAATGATTAATAGGTGAAATATTATGTAACTGAACTTAATATTTCTTAATTTAGTGAAAATTATTTGGATCAGTAATCATTAGAAGATCTCTTCACATGGAGTTCACACATTATCAAGGTAAGTATGTATTATTACCCAGGAAGTCATCCATGTTTATAGAAATTAAGTTAACATTCTAAAGTAGAATCTTAGAGGAAAATGAAAGTTCTCAAGTTGTTTATTTTCCATAAAACTGTAAAATAAAAATAAATAAACCTTTTCTTTATTGGAACTTTTTTTTTTTAGATTTTTTTTAAATGGACACCATATCTTTACTTTTTTTATTTGTATGTGGTGCTGAGGATAGAACCTCACATATGCGAGGCAAGCGCTCTACCACTGAGCTGTAACTCCAGCCCCCCTCTATTGGAAATTCTAACACTTGACCTCACTGTTCTACTAGAAGAGTTGAAGTTCATCAACTGAGTAATTGATTAGATATTGAAAATGATAATATTCTCAATAACAGTATTGAGATATATTAACTGTAGTGTTAAAATGAATTTACCTGATTTGTTTCACTGTTTTGATGTGGCAACTAGACATTTTGAAATTAAATAYGTTGCTTAGGTCTGTCTTCACTTTATATCTCAATTTCTATTGGTAGTACTACTATAAAAAGACTGATCTTTACAAAATGTAAATGTGGTAATCTCCCTCATCTCTCTTGAATTTTGTTTTTAAAAATAAGATTCAGATATCCACCCCTTGCTTAATCTGCATCTCGTATGCCCTGGGTTTCCTCTTGTACCATGTCCACCACCCCAATTTGGTTCTGTTGCCTATAACATTAGCCTTACTGTAGAACCTAGTGGTAATTACTAACTCAAGAACAATGATAACTTTCTAGACATATAGCTATAAGCGTGGGTCAGAGTTKTCTTTTGATCTCACGGTATGGTAAATCTTCTTGGAGGCCAGTTTAAAGTTTTTTTTGCTAGCAGAAACATTTATAGAAAATGCAGATTAAATGGAACAGAAAGGACTAATTAAAGATCCTCAGATTCTTGATTCTCACATAAATATGGGAGTAACTGCTTCCCAGGCAAATATTAGTCTCATAACTAAATCATTATTGAAAATGGCTTAATATTTTATCAGAAGTCTGATTTATTCAAAAGTGACCACGAAATACATCAAGCAATAATAATTTGATCTAGACCAGGTTTGGAACAACATTTTTTCAATAGTTATTTGCTTGCTCAAGACCTTTATACATTCTCAAACACTGTTTCAAACACTTAATGCCTTATACAGACCTTTCTGATCCCTTATACTAGGTCAAGAATCTGAATTATTTGCTTTTCTAGAACAGTCCCACTTTTCATGTTGCACTTTAAGGGCCTACAGTATAGTTCATGCTCAATAAATATGTATTGAATAAAACTATCGTTATGTGGAGACGGCAAATGAACTTCACCACATGTTAAACAATTGCACTAAATTTGAGAAGAGCTATTTATAGGTGTGGCATTTCCTAGGAAACCAGATTTACTAATTAGAAAGCTGAATGGTGATCAGAGAAGGAAGCAGATCACCCAAGGACATGTGTGTGTCATGTAGTACTGCCTCATGGTTGGGAGTTGTTCTCCCTTTTAGACATAATGTGTTCCATACTTTCGATAGAGTTTTCTATTTCTTCCTTCTTTTAAAGTCTTCTTCAGATCCCTTAGCTATATATAGTGCAATTTAAATGTGTGAGGTTTTCTGGGAACAAAGAAAATACACCAAGCAGTTGAAAATGGAATGCTAGAGCCTAGAAGACAGGTGGCAACTGAAAAGATCAAAATAAGAATCCTTGGCAGGGAAATGAGAAGTGAAGATGTAAATTTCACTTCGAGATGATTCCCCACAAGAAATAACTCCAACAAAGAGATAAGACTAGAAATAGAACCTGAGGGTGTTGTCCAGATTTTTATGATTCATTTAGCTTTTACTTTCCAATTTGCCAAATATGTTTGTGTACATTTAATGTAAATTTATAAAGGAGTATAAGTGAAAAGCCATTGAATTAAGAATCAGAATACCTGTGACCTTGCCATATTTTGTGATTCTTCTCAGAATAACTGACTGATCCATCATCTATGCTCTTAAAGATTTTGTATCCTGAGAGGATGACAGGTATTAATTAAGCCTAAGTAACTGCAGTGGTACTACACATTGCAATTCAAATACGAATCTATCAGATATCTCCACTGGCCATAGCCCATGCAAGAAGACTTGAGTGCTTATTTATGTCATCTGTAGTGGTGTTCAGTCTAAGTGCTAACTTGACATGTTGAATAGAGACAATTGTGTATAAGTTTGTTGTTATTACCAAGTTATGATCAAGATACAGTAGCTGGACCAAACTCCCTATGGAGCTTCTAAGTGAATTGGAGTAGTTATTCATCAAACATTGACAACTATTTGAGGATGAGCTCCCTGGTTCCAGGCCAATGACTTTCCTGATACATTACATATATTCTCTAATTCACTCTCCTGGGTTGCTCCATGATGTAGGCTGGATGTTCTGGTTAGCCCCTTTCCCAGTAGAGTTAGATAGAGACTTCTGTTTTGGGTTGAATTTTCTAAGTCTGAAAGCAACAACTATGAAGGGCCAGATTCAGGCTCATAGTGGTTAGAGATTTATCCTACAATTCAGCCTCCAGTTCCTAGAAGGTAAAGGAAAGTCTTCCAACATCTGTGGTTTCTCAAGAGAGGTAAATTCCCCTGTGCTATGCTCACTTGTGAGACTTTAGGTACTTCAGATTAGAGGTATACTCTCTCAGAAGAAATATAAAGCAACATATGCAATTTTAAATTTTCTAGGAGTCACATTAATAAAAATAACAAATGAATTTAATTATAACAATGTGTCTTATTCTCAGATATTAATATGAAAATATTATTTCAACAAAAGCTATTTTAACAAAGTTTTTTAACATATCTGCATTCTTTATTCTTTCTTTTTGTACAAAATCTTTGAAATTCTTCATGTTACTTATACTTACAGCACATCTCAATTTCAATGTCAAATTTTCATCAGAACAACTTGATCTGTATTTAGAATTAAAAAAAAAATTTACAGATGAAAAAGAAGATTGAAATAAGTTATTACAAACATTCTTAAAGTGAGTATCAATTTTAAATTTACATTTTGGTAGTTACCACTAAATAAAGCTAAATATTGAGTTCCTAAATTGTTGTGGCATTAAATGCTAAAAAGCCTATGGAGCCACTATGCCTACTGGCTGCTATGGAATGAAACAGCACAGTTCTAGCCACACTTGGAACACAATTTTCTCACATCGTAATAGTACCTCTTCCCAGGTGCAAATGCCAGGGTCTTTGAATTGAATATTTTCCTATTTTTTTATTTTTATTTTTATTTTTTTTTTTTTTGGTACCAGGGATTGAACACAGGGGCACTCAACCACTGAGCCACATTCCCAGCCATTTCTGTATTTTATTTAGAGACAGGGTCTCACTGAGTTGCTTAGGGCCTCACTAAATTGCTAAGGCTGGCTTTAAACTCGGGATCCTCCTGCCTCAGCCTCCTGAGCCACTGGGATTACAGACTTGTGCTACCATACCCAGCTTCCAATTTTCTTAATTCAGAGGCTCATGCCAGGTTTTCCTCACATCTTGCACTGCTTCATAATAGTTCACTGAATCTATTTCAAATGAGTCAGTTATTCTTTTTCACCTTCGGTCTTCAGTGATGATCACCCTAATTTGTCTTTTCTAACATTTTTCTTTTACTTCAAACATTGGATGAAAAAGCAAGAACCCCCTAATAAATGTGTCTACCCTTGCTTTAGCTCAAAATTCTGTATCTATCAATCATCTTATCTCTTTGTCTGTATCAG